CCCAGCTCCAGGTTGAGCTGTTGTTCACCATCTTAGCTGTAGAGGGCAGTGTCACTGGCCCTCATGTGGGATCTGAACCGGGGCCCTGCTGCTCAGAGCTAATATCCCAAACCAGCTCTTAACCAACGTGCCACTCAGCCGGCCCAAGAGCGTGTGCTCTTAACAACAAGGCTGCTGGATCGACTCCCACATGGGATGGTGGCTATGCCCACCTGCAACTAAGATTGAACACAGCACCTTGAGCTTAGAGGCCACGAGCTGCCGACGGGAAGCCAGATGGCGACTGGTACCCTCCACAACAAAGACTGAAGAACAACAACTTAGCTGGTCCCCTTCCCCAATTCCCCAACACTGTCCCCCCGCCCCAATTCCCCAATAAAATCTTTAAAAAAAAAAAAGTGTTGCAAAGGATGCAAAGAAAAAGGAACCCTCATATACTGCTAGTAGGAATGTAAATTGATACAGCCACTATGGAAAACAGTATGAACATCCCTCAAAAAATTAAGAATTGAGCTACCATATGACCTAGCAATTCCTCTTCTTGGTGTCTACCCCAAAAAATGAAAATATTTATTCGCGAAGATATATGTATCCCTATGTTCACTGCAGCATTATTCACATTAGCCAAAACATGAAACAACCCATGTGCCCTTCAATGGATGACTGGATAAATAAGTATACAATGGGATACTATTCAGTCATTTGCAACAACATAAATGGATCTTAAGAATATCATGCTAAGTTAAATAAGTCAGACAGAAAAGAAAAAGAACCATATGACTTCACTCATGTGGGATATAAAACAGAAAGCCACAAACTAACAAAAAAAACAATCTCATAGACAGAGATAACAATATGGTGGTTACCAAACAGGAAGGGAGTTGTGGGTAGATTAAAGAAGGTAAAGAGGGTCAAATATATGGTAAAGGAAGGAGACTGGACTTTGGGTGGTGAACACACAATACACAGATGATGTATAAAATTGTACACTTGAAGCTCAAACAATGTTATTAACCAATGTTACACCAATAAACTTAATTTTTTTTAAAGTTAATGTATACAAAATATCCACAATAGTCAAATTAATAGAAACAGACAGCATATTAATGGTTGCTTAGGGCTGGGGGTAATAGGGAAATTCGAGGATGATAGTAAGAGGATATGGAGTTCCTTTCCGAGGTGATGAAAATTTTCAAAAATAGATTGTGGTGATGGTTGCATAAATCTGTGAATATTCTAAAAGCCAATGTACTTTAAGTGGTAAATTGTATTGAATTATATTGCAATAAAGCTGTTACAAAATAAAAAAGAACAAAAAAAAAAGAAAAAGGAAAGACTTGAGAGACATATCAACCAAATGCAATGCATGGGCCTTGTTTGGATCTTGATTCAAACAAATCAGCTTAAAAAATAACTTTATGAGACAACTGGGGAAATTTGAATAGTGAGTGGATAATATGATATTAGAATTACAATTAATATTTGATGTGTAATAATGGTATTATCAATTGGTTAACAAAGAGATACCTTATCCTTGGAAACACATACTAATGTGCTTATGAATAAAATGATATAATGTCTAGGATCTACTTCAAAGTAATTTAGGGGGATAGTGGGAAGAATGCGGGGGGAGGGCGGGGAAATAGATGAAACAAGACCTGCCATATACCAGGGTGCCAAAAAAATGCACACACATGAGTTGTATTCATCTTTTGTTATCAGTATATATTGAGCATTACAATTTTAATACAGCTTTTTCCTTTCTTAAAATGTGTATACAGGGCCGGCCGAGTGGTGCGTTGGTTAGGAGTTGGCTTGGGATGCCAGCTCTGGGCAGCAGGGCCCCAGTTCGGATCCCACATGAGGGCCAGTGACGCTGCACCCTCTAAGGCTAAGATGGTGAACAATAGCTCCACCTGGAGCTGGGCTGCCGTGGTCACCAGCAATGGCATAGGCTGCAGCAGAGCTGCAGCGGGCTGCCATGGGTGGTCGGTGGCCAGTGTGAGCAGACAGGGGCCATTGTGAGCAGTAGTCCAGAGGCCGGCGACCGATCTGCCTCACTCAGGAAGAGCGCAATGATAATACCAACATGGGCCAGTGAAGCGACGTCCTCCACAACTAGACTGAAGAACAAAAAGGACAGCAACTCGTCTGTGACCCTCCCCCAATTCCCCAATTAAAAAAAAAAAATGTGTATACATTTTTTGGGCACCCTCTGTATTAATAATTGTTGAAGATGAATGATGGATGCATGGGTTTTGTTATACTATTCTCTGCTTCTGTGTATGCTTGAAGTTTTAATAACACAAAATTTTTAAATATTAGTGATTTAATATTCCACTAAAATTAATCAAGGCAAATAATTCACTTATCTTTGCTATTATTTTTCTAAGGTCTATTTATTATACTATGAACAGCAAGCATGAACAGTCTAGCTGGCTGTTTCTCTTTGGTGGTCATTTTTTTTTTCTATAAGCAGTAAGTACATAGGAAAACACAATGCCAATAAGAGGGGAAAAAAACTTACCTACAATTTTGAGATAACTACTATGTATTATTTAATGTTTTGGCACAATTTCAATTATTTTTCTAAGCATATATATATACTATGTAGTCAACATTAATACATGTACTTTAAAAAAAATCATACAAGTACTATTAATATAGGTTTGTGGCCAGCTTTTTTCCTCTGCTTCTTATTGATATATTTAAAGAGTATCTGACTAAGATGCTTTTACAATCTCTAAACCAATGATTTGATATTCATTTTGCCCCTAACCTGGCATGCTTTGTGGATATTTTTTTCTCTTCTCTCTGATGGATGTTTCACTTGAGACTCATTTACCTGCCAGATAATTCACATAACAATGTTATGCCAGAATTTTGCAAACAGTCATGTAAAATGTAAAATATGACTAACTGCTTCAAATTAGCCAATCTGATTCTGGTTGGGGGCTGGGGGGCAGTGTGGCATATTTCAATTGCCTACCATAAGAGCCAGGTTCTTTTCAGCCCTAAAAGATTCAGAAGGGGAGTAATATTGGATTAAGCAGAGCAAGTAATATATTTCATACTATTTTTACCTATATTAATTTTACATGTTTTATATAATATACTATTTTATAGTATAGACAAACATTCTAATTGTCATGCCTCATTTATTGTATATGAGGTATTCAAGCCACAGCCTTGAAGATCAACAGTTAGCCCTTGGTCCTGATGAGGGGCTAAAAGGAAGCAGGGAATGGAAAAAAGGACGTGTGAAGAGAGAGTGAAGACTGGGGTTTACTCAGGTTTTTTTAAGTTAACCCTAGGATGAGGGGGAGGAAGACATACAAGAGTTAGTTCTAACGGTCAGTAGACAGGAGTGACAGGAACAGAATATAAAACGTGAAGACGGCTAATTAGGTAATATTAGTTACCTAAATATTTGTTATTTGAGGTACTGAGAAATACATCATAACCAAGCTCATTTTATTTATTAAATTTATTTCAAATGTCCATATGAGAGGTGCTTTTTTTCATTCTAAGAAACCAAATGAAACAAACATATTTTAACAAATTATTTACAGCTAAGTAACACAGTAAAACTCCATAATAGTGACTAATTTAGGAACAAGGTCTCGTGTTAAATGTAATATAACATCCAAGCTTTCCTGAGTGCTTACTATGGTAACAATGTGCTACATAAGCACTTACCATATGTCATCAATTCTAGTAAAACTTACAAGGATAGTTATCATCGCCATTTCATATGTGTGAAAATTAAGATTTAGAAAGCTTAATTAACCTGTCCAAAGACATGCACCTAGTCCTTGGCAAAACTGACATTTAAAACAAGTCCAATTAGCTTATGATGCTAATTATTATGCTATAATTTCTCCAAAGCCTGTATTAAGGTAAGCAAAAATAATTTACATCAATTAGGTATATGTAAGATCACATAGTCTAACCATTCTGAGTAAAGGTGACTATTTAGAAAATAATTCTATGAATTTTCTCTCCCCAAGCACTTTATCACTAAGGGCCATACTTCTTCATATTCCTTTAGACTCTGCATTATCGCCTTGATAAGCTGCTAACACAGCCTAAGATAATGGATAAGCAGTATGGTACAGCGGAAAAAATACTGAAGCTGGCATCAGAAGATCTTAGCTCCAGTGTTAATGCCAATATTTACCAGACTAGGGGTACTAGGCAAGTCATTTAACTTTTTTCTCTGATACTCACCTGACCCAACTAAATAAATAACAGAACAAAAGCTAATAAAATCCAATCTGCTTTCTGTAAAGGACAGTTGTGATGATCGAATGAGATGTGACATGAGCTACTTTGTAAAGTCTAAAGCACAAATGGTATTGTTATTCATTTAAGAAAACCAAAGGAAGCTGTCTCCCAAATGAAGCCCTTATTCTTTTGCCCCCAAAAATACTCACATGTAAATAACCATCTGGAGATAAATGGCATGTCTAACACAGAAGTGAAGACATGACGGGAAGTTAAAGACAGGCAGGAAAGAAGAGTGGCATACCGCGGGACACATATTTTGGGGTCAGGCAGAACCTTGTAGCATTAATCAAAAAAACCACTTTAATAAAAAATATGCACTTAACACAACTGGATTTATGCATTAAAAATGAGCTCTAACAGTTTTCTCTTATATGATGCTAGCAATTCCTCCTGTACTTTATCATTAACACACTAAATCTTATAAGAGAAAAGATAATTTGGTTAATACCTTGTTCCAGCCGCTGGCATGAACTGTGGCCTCCAGTGTACATTCCCGATATGCCTGATATGTCATTGGCCTGCAGAGATTTTTTTTAAAAGTCTGTGTCACTAAGCAGGAAAATTCTAAATTTCCAGATGAATAAATACACAGTTACTATTCTACTGTTGAACTTTTTGTGAAAGTAACAAAAATTATCAACATATTGTTTTGCATGAGATGTGCATTTTGTTTCAAGCATTCTCTATAGGCTGAGATGCTTGCTACCAGTTTGGGAAAGCAGTTTACATAACAAGTTAATAATAAATAATAAAACATTTTTTATAATTGCTTGAAACGTATCCAACAGGATTTCTATGTTGTAGGTAAATAAGCACTCAGATTATTAATATGGGATCAAATAATAACAAATAAAAATTATCTCAATAAAATTAAAAGCACAGTTTTAACTTTTTTAAAAGGCAAGAAAAATCTAAAATATTTTAAAATTAAAGAGACATGTCATTGGAAGACTTCAAATTGAGGATATAAGGAGTTGGAATAAACAAGGACAATAAACAAAGCTCTATTTTTAACTTGGAATCTTATGCATAAAATCCTGGAGGACAGACAGACAAGCCTTTCTGATTATTTCCGTGTCAGTTTAGTCATACCAAAGCTCAAATCATTGAGTAAGGTAATGCTCACTCATTAATTTATTGAGGAACTTTTAAGTACTACATTCTAAGTCTTGGTTTCATGTGTAAATTAACAACAACAAAAGTACTGGGTAACCAAGTAACATAAGAAGGCATCAACAGCTTGTACAATAGATTTAATAAAATTTACCCCTCCCTTTGTGGGCAAATTATTAACGTATATGTAAAAAAGAAGAGTCTTATTTTAAAATCCATTCCAAAGGCTTTTTCTGCTCTGACCACTCTGGGGTGGATCTCTTCAATCTGTGAATATAGAAAATTGGTAATAGCTACCCACCATCTGTTATTGGTAGGCTACTGTTCGGTTTTATATTTTTATATATTTATATTTTATATATTTCATGTTATTATTTTACATATTAGGAAACTGAAGCTCAGAAAAGCTAAGAGACTATCTCAAATCCACATAGCTGACGAGCAGCAATGCAGAAATTCACACCCAATTAGATTTGGCTCGAAAGGCTAAACTGCTCTATTTGAACGTAGGATTCTGACACATGTCATGATAATGTCTAGATGCTACATGTGGCTAATGAGCATTTGAGAGGTGGCTAGTGATGTGCTACAAGTGAAATATAGACACCAGATTTCAAAGACTTAGTAAGAAAGAGAGAATGTAAAATATCTCAGTAAGTCTTCATATTGAGTAATGTTAAAACTATAATACTTTGAATATATAAGTTAAATAGAATACATTAAAAATCATAATTTAAATTTTTATGTGGCTGCTAGAAAAATTTAAGTTACATATATGTGACTTGCATTATATCTGTTGGACAGTGCTGGTCTAGATATTTCAGAAAATAATTCTGATGACACAGGTATCGTTCTTTTATACAAGTCAAAATAAAATCAATACTTCAATGATGCTAAGATACCAGGGATGACCTTTTAATAAGATGTTATGTACTCCCTTCTTGATATCATATTCCTATCAAAGTTAGCATTTTTTTAGAAGCCTTGGACTAAATATTAGGTGGTTGTAAAACTTGAACTTCAGCAGATACTGTACAGTCTACCTACCTATATTTTCCCTGAAGTTTACTTGCATCTATCAGTCCCTTTACTTCCTTTCCTGAACTGTTTGCTGCTGCTGTGGGTCACAGTAGTCCTTAGTGGTAGTTTGTCTATCAGGCTAAAAGTACTTTAGCATCCTTCAGAATGAAACATGGTTGGAAACATTATACGTACACACAAATGCACATGAACAATCCAGCAGATTAGAACATTCACAGGAAATATAATACACAGAAAAGTAAATTGCTGGAAAATCAGCCCTTATCTGATGAGCTACTTGAACAGAACAAAGAAGAAAAAGGGAGAGGGGGAGACCTTTTGAACCCACTCCCCTGCAGGAAGAGATGGAGATTAAATTCCCACTTTAACAAAACTGGAGGAGTAGGTGGTATTTCCCACCTTAAAAGATACTGCCAAAAACCTGTATAATACTTATAGTCCATCATCAGATAGTTATTTTCAAGGCATTAATAACAGCACTTAACTTTATAAGTAGATTTCTAATAATCAATCACACATATTTTATTCAAAATTGGCTAAAATCTAATGGAACATATCCTCTTAACTGCTAAAACGGAGTTGATATGTTGAGTTCAATATTCCTTAAAAAATAAAAGACCTCTGGCTTTGCTATTTGCCATTTGAAAGTTACATCAGATACCCTGTAGATTATGTAAAGAAAACATCTTAACATGTGTCTCAACAATAAAAATATTTATCTTTGAGTAGAAGAAAAATACTGAAAATAAACGCAATACTAAAACAGTAAAAAAGTAGATTTCTGAAAAAAATGTATTCAGTGGCCTAACTTTGATATACAACCAGAGGTACCGATTTCAAAAATAATTATATCAATATTCAGGGTTTGGAGAAAAATAACAAAAATATTCATCAAAGACAAGATTTTTAAAAATATAATTTAATTTGCAGTAAGAAGATATCAATTTTTCCTGTACATTATGAGATGGACTCCTAAAACAATCTTTTTTAAAAACTACCGTATTTGCCAGCGTATAAGATGATTTTTTGGCCCTGAAAAATATGCCTCCAAGTGGGGGGTCATCTTATACGCCAGGTACACTTCAGATAGACTGCCCATAGTGCTTGCCCCGTGCCATAGTGGCCTCCCGATGCCCGCCCACTTCATTCCACATACCGTTCAGGCATCAGCAGCGCTGCTGGGTGTATGCTCGGCTGTTATGCGATTTTGCTGTTATGCGATTTTACCACACTCGCAAAATCGCACACACCCAGTATGATAGCGCAAAATCGCGAATCGCGATTTATGTATATGTTTGATTACATACAGCCTTGTGACAGTTTTCCTGCATGTCATAAGCATTTGAATATAAATATAAATGTTGAAATCAAATCTGATATTGTTTTACCTTTTATTTGGTGTGTGGAAGGTGTGCGGAAGAGGGGGTAGTCTTATACGGCGAGTATATAACAAACTCTGTATTTTGAGTGGAAATGTTAGGGGGTCGTCTTATACGCCCAGTCGTCTTATACGCCGGCAAATACGGTATATAATACTGTTCTTCAGGGAGCTTATAATATCAATATTCCAGTAAAGTTAAAATGAACAGATGGATAAATTGAGATAGAGAGTGAAATGGTTTGCTCAAAGCTACAAATAGTGTGTATCAAAATTGGAAACAGAATTTTTTGTCTCATACGTCTCAGTTATTTAACTCCCAGTCCCAACAGCTTTTACAGGTTGTTTGTTTGTTTGTCTGTTTTGACAAAACAGTAAATTTCTTCAATTCTTACATGAAACATCAGTATATAAACTATGTGAAAGTAGAGCTGTTCTGGGTTAGGAAGAGCGAGCAGAGCAGCCCTAACAAGCCTCACCCACTCACCCTGTCCCTCACCCTCCCAGCGGTCTGAAGACTCCAAGAAGACTGAAAGCCCTGTCATACAGATCAATTTCCTATTAAGTTTTATTTCCCTCAAATATATGGTGATGGAAGAAGAACTGACTGGGTGGAGAACATACAACATGATATATTGATGATGTATTACAGAATTGTACACTTGAAACCTATGTAACTTTACTAACAACTGTCACCCCAATCAACTTTAATTAAAAAAAAGGTTTTATTTCTCAACACTAATATTTATTTTTAAACTTTATTTTTAAGATACTCTTCACATTTATTTTAAAATTTTTCTACATATAAGGTTAAGAAAATCCAAATGTGATTTCCATTTCACTGTCTCTGATGTATAAGTTGGATTTTTACATTTGCTCATGTCACCAGAATATGAAAAAACAAATTGAATTCTCCTTAAACCCAGTTGCTTCCATCTAATAAATGAACTTTGCCTAGGTGAAAGTAAGGAATTTACCTTACTACAACAGTAATTTAGCATCTGAATTTTGACCCTTTTATGTGAAAGAACAGTCATCAAACTGTTTTAGATAGTTGTCAATCTTCATTAAAACTAGTATTTTTTCTAACTCATGCCAATTCCTTAATGATTCTCAGCAAAGAATTAGAGGGAATGAATTTTTAAGATTTACAATCAAAGACCTCGTTCTGTTTGATATACTTTCACTATGAGTTCTTGCCTTTCACTTTAACAGTCAGAACCATTGCTGGGAGATACAGTCCCACTACAAGAATTGGCAGTAGTTCCACGGGCAGATGTACAACCCAAGTTTAGCAACACCTGGGATACCTAAAATACAGATATAATGTTAATCCCACATGACAATGCATAAACCCTAGCCACTATATTTGTGTTGGCCACTAGAGAGAATGGTAAAAAAAGTGGTCAGGACAAATAAAATAGCTTGTATTTACAACTCAGTGAAAGTATTTGTTGAAACCTGAGAGCTCAACAAGAAAATACAAATGATCAAATCCTTGTTGGAACAGTTAAATCAGGGATTTTGATGCAAAAGTTATCACTCAAAACACAGATGCTTGGGAAAGCAAAAGAAGAAAAAGCGAAGAAAAGTTAAGTGAGAAAAGTGACATCATTCTGGTAAACAGCCTTAACCGCCCAGTGCTGCACGAGAAGCAGAGACCACCTAGGCAAGCACAGCCCCACAATCAGCACTGGGAACTCACTGGCTCAGGAGCCTTTGTAATGCCGTCTGTAGAGGCTCTTTCAGTTCCTGTGACACTTTCTCTCCAAGATGAGCCAAGCAGTCTTCTACTGAACTTTCTGGGGTAGCAGGGCTGAACACTGGAGAGGTGTGATGGTCAAAGCCTGTGCTGGTGAAGGCTGAAGACCGGGAAAGAAAACCTAATTTAGTAAACACTATCAAAAGTTGTGCCATAAAAGCTCAAGGGATTAAGACACCTACTACCAATAAGCTAAGTGATGCACCACTTAAAAACGTCAGATAATCACTGTGGGATATGAATCTTTCCTGGAACACAAAGCTGGATAGGTCCTAAATTTAGAGATTTTTTTAAAGGAAACATTTTTATGGAAAGTCGTAGTTTTAAGAGCAGAAAAAGACCAAACTGAAATGTTAAAATACACAGATTTTGTATATCACTACAGACCAATTTAGTATAAGAATAATAAATGAGAGGCAACTCCTAGATCTAGCATCCAATCCCTCTCTTAATATTTTGTTTTTAAGATTTTGTTTTTACCTTTATAAATGTGGCACTTCTTAAACAGACTTTAATCAGTTTCTTCTACCTTACAGGATGAGTCAGTCGATTACTATCATTTCCTTTTTAAAATAAACTTTCTAACTCAATAGTCCTGCACACGGATAAAATTTAAAGCTATGAATATTACAAGAGTACGCAAGTTGCACAGAGAAGAATCAGTCATAACCTATTCCCCCCTCAGCTCAAACTACTAGCCTCTCATCTGCTTCCTCACTTCACGTTATACAGACTTAGCCATTCTCTAACTGCAGGAAGAATGGGTAGAATCATTGTTGTTCTAGGGTACAAACAGGATGCAGGGAATAGAATCCCAGTAAAGCAAGAGGCTTGTACCCACTCCCTAGAGTTATCAATAACTTCCATAAAGTATTTATTGCATTAATCTAAGGTTTGCTCCTAGAATGCTGCAAATTTCCTACAAAGTATACTATTTCTTTATAAAGTGCTTGCGTCCAAGAAAGATGCAAATGGTTGCAAATATTTTATTGTCTGAGCAAGCTGGATGGAGGGTGTCCATTATGAGGGTTCAGTGAGGTAAGTGCATTTAAGCCTTTGGTGCATTTTTCTCCTTTTGGCCATTTGCCGATTTTACTATGTATAAGTACTGCTACCAGAAATGGTCGAAGGCTTAAAATAGAACTGGAACTTTAATTAGTTAAAAATGTTGGTAAAGGAAAATAAAAGAGAAGAATAAAATTAGCTTTCTGGACTATTTGTAAATTTCTATTCCTGTTCTTTCTCTAACAGGTAACTGATTTATAAACATGATTTTATAATTTTTCTTGTTAAAAATTATTGGGCAATATATATCCACACAAAAACATGTACAAGAATATTCACAGCAACATTATACACAATAGCCAAAAAGTAGAAACAAGCTAAATGTACACCAACTGATGAGTGGATAAACAGAAGGTGGTCTCCCCACACAATGGAGTATTATTCTACCATGAAAAGGAATGAAGCACTGACACATGCTACCACACGGGTGACCCTTGAAAACACTATGCTAAGCCAGTCATAAAAGACCACGTAGTGTAGGATTCCAGTTATGCGTATGTTCATAATAGACAAATGCATCGAGACAAAAGGCTAATTAGTAGTTGCCCTGGGTCAGGGTGAAGGCAGGGGCTGGTGGGAGTGGATACGGGAAGTGCCTGCTAATGTTTGTAGTGTTTCTTTGGGAGATGTTAAAAATGTTCTAAATTTAGATTGTGGTGATGGTTGCACAATTCTGTGAATATACTAAAACCCCTGATCTGTACACTTTGAATAGGTAAATTTTATGGAATGTGAAATATATCTCAATAAAGCTATTAAAGAAATCATTGGGCAACATGTTCATTCAATGCATCTTGATTTATGGAAGGCAAAACAAGAAATAACCTAAATGCTCCCCTCAATAATAAGGGAATGACTGAATAAATAGTCATTCAATATATGGAATTGCATATAGTTAGTAGAAGGATAACTATTGTGAAAGTTTATAATGTAATGTTAAGTACAAAATATGTGGCTATAAAATTACAGGTACATTACTATTACAACTATCTATAGCATATATGCATGCAAAAATGAAAGCAGTTTACTTACATTTTTCCCATTAATGTTGTTACTAATTATAAAGGTATCAAATACAAATCATACACGTTAAATGGGAAGTACCTTAACATGACTGTTTAGCCTATCACTTAATGCCAGAAAAGGCTGTTGGTTGGGTGCAGCTGGGAAACAGAAACATCCCTCAGGAAAGAAAAAGGATACCTTCTAGTTTCACCCCTACAATCCTAAATGAAGTTGTGTAATGTTGAGAACACTTTACTATAAAAAAAAAAAAAATTAAACCAACAGTAAATCACACCAAAAAGAATCTACTAATTAACTAGAAAAATAAAAATGAACAGACCTTCAGAAATTTCTTTGTCCAAGGATTTTAGCTCTTCTTCAATCTCAGTTTTAACTTTTAATAGAACTTCTTGATCCAGAGATGGTGAAGCTACATCTTGTTGAACTCCTGAAACCAACGAAAAGGTTACCATTGAAAGAGGGAGAGAGATGCTATTAGAATGTAGGTAGTATTTTAACTGTAAGTCAGAAAATAATATCTGAATAAAGGCTTGGGGGCTGGGAGATATCTACAGATGATAAAGCTGAGGCTTGGGCAGGTTATAACACTTGTGGAGAGCCAGTGATTGGAACTCAGGTCATTCTGAATACAAAACCATTAATGCAGGCTGTGTTCTCCTCATCTTCTGATTGGGCGGATAGAAAGGAAATAGCTCAGAAACATTTTTGCCAGGATAGAAAAGGAAACCTGAAAGGTTGTCTAAGTCAGTGATAATGTCTTTTGATATTGACCTTTGTGGTCCCTTAACTTCATATCTTCATGCGAACCGTAGCCCAACAGAAGGCCTATTATCATCAAAAGATTTATATCCTCCAACTAAGAAAACTATGAATATACCAAAAGTACTGGGGGCACAAGAGAGTCTTATACAGTAAGAAGAAAAGGAAGGTCTTGGTCTCTAGCACAGAATGAAGAATGAAGGAGATGAGTCTGAAGGGGGAAATTAGACCAGGTATTTGATAATTTACTAATTTCTCCTGCCTCCAATATTTAGAACAGAACTTCATCATTTCATCTAAAAACCTGAATCCAAATATGACACCCCTCACACCTCCCATTCAGAATGTATTTATGGATACATCTCAAGTACTTTTTCAATTGTTCACATCACCCTTTTCTACCACTCACAAGTTTTACGAAGAGAGGGGTCAGTCATTTATGTCTTACTTTTGCAAGCAAAGAATTCTGAATTCAAAGATAAGCTTATTAATTTAGGCCAAGAAATTGATTATTATAGCATCTCTGGGTCCTTAAAATACCTTTGAAAAATAAAAGGTTAAAATTTCTGTACCTTACAGATTTTCTGGTAGTTTTCAACTTTTAAAATTGACAAAAATAATTTCCATTTAAGCCACATAAAACACGTTCCATCTGAGCTGAGAGCAACCAAAATAAAACTCAGACCCTTAAAAGAATTTTTGGTGGAAAATATAAAATTCCTTGGGTATTTCTAGTTGAAGTGCAACACAAAGGATCCCCGCTCAATGTCTTGATTAACATATATTTTGCCTAACTAGACGTTTCGCTTACCATTCCTTACTACATAAATACCTTAAATGAAACTACATACATGAAAACTTTAAAACATTACATGTAACAGATACAATCCATTATACAAAATTGGAAGATAACATATCCTGGGAAGAAGGTAATCTTTATAAATTCTCATAAAGCATAAAAGTCTACCTTTACAGATACGCTTTTTCTTCTCAATATTTTTCATTGTGGTTAAAATATACATAACATAAAATTTACCATCTTTACCATTTTAAAGTGTATAGTTGGCTGCCGTAAGCTGCCGTGTGTGGCCAGCAGCCAGCGTGAGCGTCTGGCTGCCGGAATGAGCTGCCAAGAGCTGCCGTGAGCAGCCGTTCAGAGGCCGGAGACCGATCTGCCTCACCCAGGAAGAGCGCAATGATAATACCAACATGGGCCAGTGAAGCAATGTCCTCCACAACTAGACTGAAGAACAAATAAGGACAGCAACTTGTCTGTTCCCCTTCCCCGATTACACAATGCTGTTCCCCTCTCCCAATTCCCCAATAAAATCTTTAAAAAATAATAAAATAAAATAAAGTGTATAGTTCAGTAGTACTAAATACATTAAATATTGTGGTACCAGCACCACCATCCATTTCCAGAACTCTTCAGCTTGTAAAACTGAAACACTGTACCCATTAAACACTAAACTAACCCTCATTCCCTCCTTCATCTCCAGCCCCACTCTATTTTCTGTCTCTATGATTTGGATGACTCTAAGTACTTTATATAAGTGGAATCATACACTATTTCTGTTTTGGAGACTTGCTTATTTCACTTACAGATAGACTTTTAATAAATCTCAAGTACTGTTTATTAATTACAGGTTTTCCCTTTAGATGTAATTTATAGTTTTCAATAGTTCTTCAACAGCACTGATTAATATGTCTATACTATGTAAAGTTACCCCTAGAATGTATTGTGACATTAAAACAAGGCAAACACACACTGGTAAATTAATTTAAAGTCAATCTAATTTCTTTCAATGAAATTATCTTTCTCCCTTCTGGCTTCCTGGAAGGAAGCTCAGTAAAGTGTAAGATAAGCTTTGGGGTCAAGCATTCCAGCTCATCACTACATGTGACCTTGAGCAAGAAAAATAATCTTCTTGAGCCTTTCCTCTTATGTAAAATGGGAAAAGAATACCACAAAGAGATGTTGTCAAGGGTAATGAGATAAATAAGTTAAGTCCCACCACATCAAAAATGCTCAGTAGAAGGGCCAGCCGAGTGGCTCAGTTGGTTAAGAGCTCGCGCAAGACTGCGAGCTCTGAGCAACAGCAGTTCGATGCCCAGCCCAAGCTGAGCAGCTGCTGAGCTGCCAACAGGTGGCAGGATGGCTCAGCTTAAAAAAAAAAAGAAAAAATAGTACGGCTTCCTAGAAATAAGCATACCTCCACTATTTTTTGTGGCTTTGCCTCGGATCCAAATTCACTGCTCCATGCTAGTACAGGACCTTATCGACTGCGTATCTGTGATCTATTATCCCATTATAGAATTGTATTGTTTCCCTATTCTGATTTATTAGAATATTTTTATTTATTTTATTTATTTAGATTTTCCATTAAATATTATTATAAGCCACATTAAATTATACATGGTAAGGAATTCTTAAAATTCATTTCTGTTTCTACCCAATATGAATTCACTGCCAACTTCTTCACTAACAAAAAAGACATATTATGCTACATTTCTACCTAACCTAGACTGCCCTTCCTTTTCCTGATTATTCAAATTCTGTCCACACTACAAGGACCAATTTAAGTCTCTCTATTTCTCCATAATATCTTCTCAAATTACTTCTATATCACTGACATTTGAACATTTATATCACTTAGTCTGTGCCACATAGTTTAACACTTAAACATGTACTATCTTATATTGTTCAATGATTATATAGTTTATTATCATTATTCTAACCAGATTACAAACATTTGAGATACTTGATAGTGACAACTATCACTGTCACGAAGATTCAAAGGATTATAATGTATAGAAATACATGTAGAGATGACAACCCTGCTGTGGAGAAAGGACACTTAAAAAAAAAGACAGTAGGGCTGGCCAAGTGGCTCAGCTGGTTAAGAGTTGGCTTAAGAGTGCAACTCCGGGCCGGCCAAGTGGCGCGTTGGTTAAGAACTGGCTTGGGATGCCAGAGGACCCCGGTTCGGTCCCACATATGAGGGCCAGTGACACTGCCCTCTACAGCTAAGATGCTGAACAACAGCTCAACCTGGAACTGGGCTGCCGTGGGTCGCCAGTAACGGCGTAGGCTGCAGTCCCCTGCTGCAGTGGGCTGCCATAAGCTACCGTGTGTAGCTACCATGTGTAGCAAGAGCGGCCAGCAGCCGCCGTGAGCAGCCGTCCAGAGGCTGGCGACTGATCTGCCTTGCCCAGGAAGAGCGCAATGATGGTGCCAGCTTGGGCCAGTGAAGCAACATCCTCCACAACTAGACTGAAGAACAAAACAACAGCAACTTGTCTGTTCCCCTCCACAACTAGACTGAAGAACAAAATGACAGCAACTTGTCTGTTTCCCTTCCCCCGATTCCCCAGCGCTGTTCCCCTCCCCCAATTCCCCAATAAAATCTTAAAAAAAAAAAAAAAAGAACGCAAGCTCTGAGCAACAGGGCCTCCGGTTCAATTCCCACATGAGCCAGTGATGCTGTGCCCGAGCTGAGCTGTCGCTGAGCTGCCAAAAGGTAGCAGGATGGCTCAGCTGATGTAACAACAAGACTGCCTGTTCAATGGAGGGCTGTGCCCACCCGCAACTAAGACAGAGCTCGGCACCTTGAGCTGAGCTGCTGCCCGGATGGCTCAGTGGACAGAGCGTGAGCTCCTAACAACAAGGCTGGTTCGACTCCCACATGGGATGGCGGCTATGCCCACCCGCAACTAAGATTGAACACAGCACCTGGAGCTTAGAGGTCACGAGCTGCTGTCTGCCAGCCAGATGGCGACTGCACCCTCCACAACAAAGACTAAAGAACAAACACTTGGCTGGTCCCCTCCCCCAATTCCCCAATAAAAAACTTTTAAAAAAAAGACAATAAAAGTTATACACAAATTCAGCAGAATAAAAAAAATGTCATCAGTATATTTTGAGGAAAGCTCAAATGACAAGTTAAAAGAAATTAAATAAGAATTAATTTTACATAAGAAAATAAGAGTACAGACCATCCATGTACATAGAACAGTAACTAGAGCATTTATGGTGATGGAATTGTGATGGAGAATATTGAGAATGGGTAATTACAAAAAAAAGACCTCAACTGTTATCTCCATGCTTATGAGAGTTTTAATCAATGAATGTCTGAATCATAGAATTTTAAATTTGGAAAGGTCTATAAAGTAAAGGCTGTCTAGTCCATCCTCCTCATTATATGAAGAATATGGGACTTGGAGATTTTAAATGACTTGCCTAGGCTCAAATAAATCACCCAGAAACATGATTAAAAAGTAGATTATCTAGTAAGTAAAATTATTACTGAATTCCAGAACATGTGATTACAATTTTTGATGAGTGGTGAAAAATAAGGAATACATGAATGTCTTATCTGCCATCTTCCTCTTTTTGGGAAATCTATATACCTAAAACATATACACACCCACATACCCAATGACACTGCCACCAATACCACCACCATGACACAAAGTAAATGACAATAATGTCTTGTTTACTATGTGTCTCACAACACGAGATTAAAAAAAAGCAGCTGATTAAAGGAGTGACTATTCTCATGAGACTAAAGTGATGCTGATTATACACGACAAATTGTCACAGTTGATGATAAGCCATGTGGAAAACCTAAACCAGAAAAAGTCTACCGCTGTCAGGGCACAAAAGGC